TTTCCCTACTCCTCTTTACTTCATTCAAAGAGCTTAGTTAACTGATTGGAACATTGCATCCAAAGATGAGGCTCAGAGACTTGATTTCCTTGTGGATGGACATTTTTTTGCTGTTCCTCATTTCTTGGCCACCCATAGCACCTTGGAGGGAAAGGAAAAACAATTTCCCCTTCACTCTTCTAAATTCTTGGCTAAGCACCTGTCACAAAAGACAGATTAACAAGAGAAAAACAAACAGAAACTTGCTGACATATAATTCATATATGGTTAGACACCGAGGGAAATCAGTAACTCTCAAAGAGGTAGTTTAGGACTTGGGTTTAACTACCATCTTCAGCTGTAGAAAGAGAGGATTAGGGAGATAAATTATGGAAAGGGAACCAGAAAAAGTAAAGTCAGCATGCAGATGTGTGTGTGTGTGTGTGTGTGTGTGTGTGTGTGTGTGCACGCGCATGCGTTATTGAAGATAGAATCCATTATGGCTCTACCTCTGAGCTCCATCCCCACCCAGCTCCTCCCACATATTAAAAAATTTGAGGCGTGGTGGTCTTTTTTGATCTCCCTTCACAGTGGTGCTAACTTAATATTTGTTGAATGAATGAATCAGTTGGATTCTAGTGGCAGAAAGGTAAGTCAAAGAATTCAGAGTCCCATGTTGGATTTCTATTTGATTTCTTTCATGTTTTTTTTTCCCCAGAAACCATTTATCTGCCTGTATTTTAGGATCTTTTATTCATTCTTATTCTCCTCTCTTATCCCCTTCCTTTTCCAATAGGTCTTCTACATTACTCTCTGGCTTAAACTTCCTTCTCAAACTCTTAGCAAATAATTTCCTTTGTCTTGCTACTAAACTAGGGGTTGGCAAACTATGGGGGCGGGGGTGGGCAGATGTACCTCATGGCCTAATTTTCTGTGGCCTAAGAGTTAAGAAGGGTTTTACATTTTTATATAGTTGAAAACAAATGGAAAGAATAACATTTCATAATTTGTGAAAATCTTGTGGCATTCACATTTCAATGTCCCTAAGATAAAATTTCCCTGAAACACATCTGTCTTAGTCCATTTTGTGCTGCTGTGACAGAATAATTTAATTTAATAGAGTCTGGGTAACTTATATAGAAGAGAAATTTATCACAGTTCTGGAGGCTGAAAAGTCCTATATTAAGGTGCCGGCATCCTCTCTTCTTGCTGCGTCATTCCATGGCAGAATAGAGAGGGCAAGAGAGGACAAGCAAGCAAGAGTGGGCAATTTTCTTTTATAACAACTTGCTCTTGCAATAACTAACTGGCTCCTGAGATAACGTTAATCCATTCATGACTTAATCACCTCTTATTCGGCTCCACCTTCCAACTCTGTTGCTTTGGGAATGAAGTTTGGGTGAACAATTCCACAGCAACAGCCTTGCCCAATTTGTTTGCTGTTGTCTGTGACTGTGTTTGTGAGACTATGGCAATGCGGAGTAGCTGTAAATATTGCAGCCTAAAATATTTACTATCTAACCCTCTCTGTGAACTTTTGGTAAAGCTTTTATACAAGCAGTACTTACAACTTGGTAGACCTTCTCATCTTCCCATCAAAATAAAACCTTTTTCTAATATCAAATCCTCTCTTCCCAATCCTTATCTGATTACCTCACCTGACATGTCATTCTCTCCATATCTCTCAGTATTTGTTAATATAGCTCAACACAGCTGCAGTTGACTTGCTTTTTGCAAACACAAAACCAAGCACCTCACCCATGTAGGCAAGAACTCTGCAATTGCTATATTCCAGCTCAAACCCACAATTTTTGTTTTTTGGTTTTGTTTTGTAATTTTTATACTAGGGATTGAAACCAGAGTGCTTTACCACTGAACTACATCCCCAGTGCGTGTGCGCGCGCTCGCGCACACACACACACACACACACACACACACACACACACACACACAGTACATCCTGCTTTTTGAGACAGGTCTTGCTTAGTTGCTTAGGGTCTCTCTTATTATTGATACTGTCTTCAAACTTATGATCCTCCTGTCCCAGTCTCTGGAATCACTGGGATTTTAGGCATGTGCCACTGCTCCCAGCTCCCATATGCAATTATTATATTTCAAGATGTCTTGAATACCTGATTACTATTTTCTCTATTTCATTGTGAAGACCCAAAGGTTGGGAGTGGCCCTTCCATGTCCTCTATTTCTTTCCAAGAACAGAGCAGTTCTCATATTTTGAGTCAGGCAGATTTGCATTTCCACCACTCCCTAGCTGAGCAAGTGTTGTCAATTTCCTCAATCACTTTATCTGCAAATAGTTTGTTATGAGGATTATGGAGATGGTGATAGAGTACAAGCCCCAGGAGGTGTTCCACATAGCAGTAATTATCAGTGGAAAAGTTTTTTTATTGGTAATACGAAGAAATTACCTATTGCTCTTAATGAAGCTCCTGGTAGTGCAATGAGAATTGAAAGAAGTGGTAAGTGAGTAGAAATGAAACTGCATGGTTCCACTGGAGCCCTGTAAAGATTAGCTGGAAAAGTTCAAGGGCTCAGATGAGAAGTTACACTAGTGAGGCTTTGAACAAACTGAACAAACACTTCTTGTTTAATTACTGAATTGAGCATTGCCTAGGTCAAGCCTTGTGTGGATGTGAAAGAAAGAAGGCCACATCTATTCTGGAGATTTTTATCTAAACTTGCAGAAAAAAAGCAATACAGACATGAGCTGTGCTCTTACTTGTCCATAATGTTTCCTCTCTCTCAGGATGGATGATTCAGAATCAGCAATTCACATAAAAATACTGCACATGGAAAGTATTACTGTTATTCTGTGGGGAAATAAGTTTCTAAGTGCAGCAATCTGAAATTAATAACTTTCTCTGTGGAAACTCTCTTGACAACATCTAGAGATGAAGCCAGGGTGCAATTTTTACAGCCTTGGATTATCTTCTCTGTCTGCTTCGAATGTACCAGGCATGGATCCCGGGTATAAGAAATTCAGTTTTCCCCTTCATTTTACAGTTTGCTTGCCAACTGGAGGCCTTATACAGTGGTGATTTAATTTCTCAATTCTCCAGTTTTTCCACCCATTGAATCAAGGCAAAAAAATATCAACTTATTTATTATTACAAACTTTGGGGAAAAAAACGGGGAGAGCACACCCAAGGTCTTTATTGTTACTGCAAAAGATTTTAATTTGAGGACATCAGAAAAGGAGCAGGAAAGGGAAATTGGAAGTTAGAAATCAACTTTCTTTTTGCTTTTGGGAGAAAATATTCCCATGAGAAAGCCTATTATTTATACTGTGGTAAAAGACTTGGGTCCACATGCAAGAAGTTTATAGATACTGAGGAAGAAAGTAATTTAGGAAAGAAATAGATGGAAGGGCAGCAATTCCTTTTCCAGAAAAAGCCACAGCAGTGCAGACATGCATAAAGATGGCAGTTGTTGCTCCAATAGCCATATGTAGCAAGACAGACATATTCTTTTTTATTCCTTCTTGTATATAAATTTAGACAATCTGGACAAAGAAGCCTGGATTTCTATTTTCTACTGATGATTTTTTTTAAATTTCAAGTTAGACTTTCCCCCCTTATATAAGACCAGGGGAAAAACATTATCTTTGTTCAATTCACTGTACCTTATTACATTTAAATGTTGTTTCTCTGGGTTAAAAAAACAAAAATAAAAAAGGAGTGAGGAGCCTCTGAGATAAGGAGACCTTACCATTTAGCATGTTTTTGAATTTGTTACTCTCCCAGTGAGTACACACACACACACACACACACACATATACATGTAAGGCTAACACTTGGAAATAGGGACAAATAGGTAGGAGTGTGGATGCTAACAGTAACTTCGAAGTAAGGAAGGTAAGTGTCTAGAACTTTTAATAATGTGATTTGCTGCTACATAAACCTCAGGGTGATCCAAATCACAGTTATGTTTTATGTGGTTAACTAAACTTGAAAATTAGAAGTTAAGATAATCATATTAATATCAACTCTAGACTTGCAACTTGGAAAGGCAATCAAGAAGAAATGGGAAGTGCAACAAGCTTCAAAGACTGAGGGTGGTTTTTGCTTTTGATATTCCCCTCTGTGTTGGACATGTGGTTAGAAGCAATTCCAGATGGCTGGATGTGATAAGAGGAAACAGACCCTGAATGCCTGCACAACTGTAGTGTTCTAGATGTTGTAGACCATTAAAGACTGGAAAGAAAAATATTCTTTCTTCACAAAGCTTATAATTTAGTTGCTTGATTATGGCTAAGAGAGCTGGCTTAATGGGCTTGCATTCCAACTTTATCCTTTACTAGCTCTGTGTCACTGGGTAAAATATTTAATCTCTTCAGGCATAATTTCTTCATCTGTGCACCACTGATAATTTATCTCCTATTTGGCAGCTATGCCAGACTCCTTTCAGTTCTCCCACGATGCAAGCTCTCTCCTTACTGGCCTTGCACATGTTCCTGTTCCTTGGAAAACTCCTAGCGAGGCTAAATCCTTCAAGTTCTGACTTTCATGTTCTGAGATCTTTGTTTCAGAAAATATGATTTCTGTATCCACAGGTAAAGGACTGCATAGACATTAGGCTGCCCTTATAAATAACCCACTCTCAAGTAGGGTTTAGGATCAGCAAACTTTTTCTGTAAAAGCAGATGGTAAGTATTTTAGGATTTGCAGGGCTATACCAATCAAAAGAGAGCTGCAGTGTTCCAATAAAACTTTATTTATGGACAGAGACATTTTAATATCATGTACTTTTCATCAGGGTCACAAAGACTTGATTTGGCGGCCGCCCTGTGGCTGGCTGCCCCCGGTCCTAACAGGATAAGCACCGGGAGTGGATAAGAAATGCTGCTGCCCGATACCGGGCACCGGACCACCGCTGTGTAAGACGGTCAGCCTCGGCTGGGGCCAACGGCCTCTAGGACCGGGCTGTGGCCTCTCCGCCCCCGGTGGCGATGAGGCAGCGGCGGCGCAGGGCGAGGCCCGGCCGGGCAGGGCGGCGCGAGTCGGGGGCGGGGCGGCGGCGGCGCTCACAACCTGAGAGGAGCGTCTCTGCGGGAGCGGCGACCATCGAGACCCACGCGAGGCGCGTCCCCCTCGGCCTCGCAGCGCTTCCAGGCCGCAGCGCCCGCGCCCTTTCAGCTCGCTCGCTTGCCTTCCTTCCCTGCGGCCGGCTGCGCCATGGCGTTGGCGTTGGCGGCGCTGGCGGCGGTGGAGCCGGCCTGCGGCAGCCGATACCAGCAGGTAAGCAGCACCCGAGTCCAGCCCCAGATCCTGGACCCCAGACCCCGGATCCCGCATCCGGGATCCGGGACCCCAGTCCGGCCCTACCCGTCGGTTGCTTCAGGCCTTTCCCGGCCATGGTCTACTCGACGCCGGGGCTTGGCAGGCCGCGCTGGGCCTGGGGCGGGTCCGCGGGCCCTGGTCTCGGTTCGAGGCCGCCGCGGGCCGGGGCGGAACCTGGCGGTGAAAAACCCGATGCCTGTCTTGTTGCCCGCATTTTCCCGGGCGGGCAGATCTCAGAGTCAGAACTCGCGACTTTGAGGAGGTATCGATCTGGGGACATTTTCCCCCTTTTCACCTTTTGGTTTGATGTCATTGGAAAAAAAAAAAAAAAAAGAAAGGGGTGGGGGAAGACGTGAAGTGGAAAGGGAAACGAGGTGAAGAGAAAGATAAAATCGCTGGTGCTGCCGCCGACTGCTCCCCACAGCGAGATGCGATTACTCAGGGTTTCAGAGCCTCGTCTGTGGGTCGAAACCCATCCCCCTCGCCTCGGTTTTAAGACAAAAGTGAAAAACGCAGCGAGAGACAGCCCCGCAGTTTGCAGTAGATTTGGCAGAGGCGATGTTTTTACTGGGGTGATGCGCCCAATGTAGAGCTACAGTGGAGCCACAGGGCGTGTGCCTGGGTGTATTTTAAACGCTTGGAAGTGACGTTTAAAGAAATTTAATAGCATAGCTAGGGAGGACGTTTATAAGAGATGATTGGATTATTATCTCGCGGGTGTGATTTGTAAATTGAGGCCCCAGGGAAAAGAGCTGCTAGTCTTACACACGGTCTGCACTGGCTTTCCCTCGGAAATTTAGAGACCTTCTACGAGGTATGAATCTAACACCTCGTAATTTGGGGAATTGAGCCAGGTAGTGACTGATGTTGATTGGAACCCCAAATAATTCCTCGTGTTTTGTCTCGGTTCAAACGTTTTCGGTTATAATTCGCATACGATGTTCTGGTTTTATGAAATAGAAGCTTCTGTCTTAGATGATTTGCAATTTTATGTTTTAGAACTAAGGAAAACAGGCATGATTAAAACGTGTAGATTAACATTGGTGCAGCCAGTTACTGTTCTGTTTTGCTGTCTTCAGCCCAGTGTTGTAATCCGCCGCCTTCCGTCCCCGCCTCCAGCTCGGACTCCTGAAATGACTGGTTAAGAATTTAGCCTCTTGGTTCCATAAACACACCCCAGATTGTGGCAGTGCAGTCTAATTCTCGTATCTCTTAACAGCCTGGGGTGTAGCACATGTTTTTCTGTATGACCTTGGACGAGACTGAGATCTTACCTGCTTTAATAAAATTCGAATCACAGATGTCACTTAACTGTCACCAAGGTGTTTGTAAATCACTTGTACCATGTAGGGTCATCTGATTCATTTTTTTTTTCCATCCTGTCTTGGCTAAGGCAAACAAGCAAAAGAGCTGTTTTCTTTGTACTGCCATCTTCTGAGCTATTGTTTAATGCTGAAGTACTGCTAGAATAGAGAATTTGTTGGAGTGTCACAATTATAGATTCTGTGGTGAAGTATTTAATAGCTTTCAATTCTGCAGAATTGAGCTATGTCAGGGGTAGGCTATCTTTATTTCATTCTTTTGAAAATAATTATTTTCAAGAAATAATCTTCAAAAAAATGAAAACATAATCTAGAAAATTTATAAAAAAATGAAAGCCAAAAATACTAATCTATCACTCAGAGATAACCAGAGCTATTACTTTACTGTGTATTTTTGTGGACTTATAGTCATGTAAATATACATAAGTATAGATCAGAATACATGTGTACAGATAAGGAAAGCTAATATTGATTTACTCTGCACCAATCAGAGCACTAAATGGTTTACATCCATTTTTTTCATTTAATTCTTACAAAATCCTTATGAGTCAGGGGTTGTTCTCATTGGATAGATAAAAAAGTCTCAGAGAGGCTCAGTAACTTTTTCAAGGTCAAAGCTGCTAAATTATGATTACAAGAATAAACACATACCTACTTAAAACACAGGACTTGTTGGGTGTGGCAGTGCATGCCTATAATCTCAGTCTATAATCCTGCTACTTGGAAGACTGAGACTGGAGGATAGGCCAGTTTAAGCAATTTAGGAAGGCTCTGTCTCAAGAAAGAGAAAGGGGCTAGATATGGTGGTGCTTGCCTGTAATCCCAGTGATGCAAGAGGTTGAGTCAGGATGATTGAAAGTTTGAGGCCTGCCTCAGTAACTTTTGACACCCTGTCTCAAAATAAAAACTAGAATGTGCCCGGGATGTAGCTCAGCAGTAAAGCATCCCAGGGTTCAATCCCAGTATCATAAAATAAATATATAAAACTAAAAAACAAAACAGACTATGATTCAATGATAGGCACAGGAGTTAGCAGGTAATTGTATACATATGTACTCTTTTATATTCATACGTATATATACAAGCATATCCTCTTATGTTAATGTTTAATTCTGTCCACTTCTGATAGTATTTGTGCTCATTTTTGCATGTGTCCATGTTTATCATGTTTTCAGGCATATACATTTATAAATTTGCATGTGTGTACAAAGAATATATTAAAATGTGTTCATATTTTAGTACTATTTGGTAATGTGCCTTTTCACATAATTGCATAGTATGAATACATTCCTGCATCAAATTTTTTTTTTTTTTGATACTGGGAATTTAACCCAGAAGCTCTTAACCACTGAGCCACATCCCTAGCCCTTTTCTATATTTTATGTAGAGACAAGGTCTCACTGAGTTGCTTAGGGCCTTGCTAAATTGCTCAGGCTGGCTTTGAACTCTTGATCCTCCTGTCTCAGTCTTTTGAGCTGTTGGGATTACAGGTTTGCACCATTGTGTCTGGCTGTATTAAATGTTTTTAATGTCTGCATGACATGTAATTATATGCTGACCATAATGTAATCAATTGCCCATTGGTAGCCACTGAGAATTTATAAATTTTTTCATCCACTGAAGCTTCCATACATATATCTTCAGCTATTTCCTATGTAAATTTCTAGGTGTCATGATGCTTGATCAAAGAATATACATACTTAAAAAGGCTTTTGAATTATAGAATGTTGGTGAATTGTCCCAGCAACTTGATAGGAACATGCCCTGGGTTGTCACAGAGGTGTTCTCACTTCTATTTGATTGGGTTAATCAAAATGAGGTGGTCTCAAGCAAAGTAAATGTAACAGGAAATGATGTGATATTCATAATCGCAAACTGTTTTATTTGCCTTTATGGTGTTTGTTTGTTTGCAGGGCTGGGAATCAAATTCTGGTCTCACACAAGCTAGGCAAGTATTCTACCATTGAGCTACACTGCCAGCCCCTTTATGGTTGTTTTAGGATCAGTCTTTTTTTTTTCCCCCTCGATACTGGGGATTGAATCCAGTGCTTTACATATGGTAGGCAGGCACTCTTCCACTGAGCTACATCCTCAGACCTCCTTTGTCTTTTTTTTTTTTTTAAATCAGTATTTTAATATGTGCACAACTGGAATTTAGCATAGTGACAGACCATAAAGAAACGCTCAGCTTATAGGTTTCCTGTAACATAATTTATTTTATTTTTTTCCTTTTTACATTTTGAAACTGCAGCTATGCGTGCAACCATGTGAATGCATTATTTTGAAAAGTTCTATGTAGACCCATACATAGTGTTGAGAAACTTGCTGTGTGTAGCTTTCTGAGATCGTTAACTCCTGTTCATCTATTCCAAACTCTCTGCTTTACAGTAGTAGGCCTTTGCTTATGATGTGAATTTTACTCTTCATGCCAGATGTTTTGAGAATCCAGTGGGTGATGATGATACTGTCATATAGGTTCAAAAATAAACTGCAGAATGTTCGATTTCGTACTTAACTCATGGCCTACTAGTGAATGTGTGCATTGAGAGCATCACCAGTAAGTTTATATTGTAGTCTGATAAGAATGTAGAGCAGCTTCGGGAATGACACCTTTTGAGGTAAGTTCTCTTAAGATTTTGGAGGAACAGTTTGATAGGTCAGGAAATGAATCATACATGTGCACATACACATATATTTTTTGGCACCTGAGATTGAACTCAGGGGCAATTAACCACCGAGCCACATCCCCAGCCCCTTTTTAAATATTTTATTTAGAGATAGGATCTTGCTGAGTTGCTTAGGGCCTTGCTCAGTTGCTGAGGCTGGTTTTGAGCTCATGATCCTCTTGCTTCAGCTTTTCAAGCTTCTGGGATTGTAGGCATGCACCACTGTACCCAGGGAGTCTCATATTTTAACAGGTTGAATCATTTGCATTAAAGTATTAGATGAAGTCATGATCTTGGAGGATGGACTGAATAGTGCCCATGTGATTTGTTTTATTTTTTATTTTTTTAGTTTTATAAGTCATAATTGTATCATGGAATATCCTATACAATGTTTTATCAAGATTTTTAAGGTTACTTCTATATAAATGGCCTACAGTTGTCAGTGATCAAAGAAAACTTTTTCAAAAAACTTTTGTAAAATATTTTTTGCAAAAGATTGAGAAGATGAATAAATTGTTGCTTTGAAAACTTTAAAAAATTGTGGTAAAATACATACAAAATACACTGTTAACTTATTTTTCTTGATGCTATTGATTGAATCCAGGGCCTCATACATGCTCAGCACATGCTGTACCCTGAACCATAAGTATATAGTTCAGTGGCATAAAGTACCTTCACATTTGTGCAACCAGTCTCTATCTTTACAAAACTGAAAATCTATACTCATTAAACAATAACTTTCCATTATTCCTGCCCTAGCTCCTTTCAACTACCATTCTACTCTAGATATTTCTTATAAATATAATCAATATTTGTACTTTTGTTGAGTGGCTTATTTCATTTACCATAATGTCTTAAAGTTTCATCCATATTGTAGCAGGTGTCAGAATTTCTTCTTTAAAGCTGAATGATTTCCTGTTGTATGTGTATACTAAATTTGCTTTTATCTAGATATCTGTTGATGGACCTG